GCATAACCTGTTAAGGCCTAATCGCCCCTTTTGTCAGTTTATTCCATTTGTGTCGCCAAAGTGCTCCGAACCCCTTGCAAGATCCTGCCTGATAGCGGTAAGATTGGGTTGGACCCGTCATTTTAGTTAATATCTCTGAGAATATCATGACGAGTGTGAGGGCATTGGCTTCTCTCAAACATTTTTGAGTATTTGCCAGAAAGCAAAGTAGACTGGAGCGAAATTTTCCCGCTGCCTTTCTCAGGCAGTCAGTTACTCACAGTCCTTGGGTCAAGAGGACACGACATTTAAACTTTAGCATGTCTGCTCATCACGTACACCGCTAACATTGAGCCTCTATCTCCCCTCCTGTGGTTGTCTTGTAGTATTGAAGGGACGAAATTTAATTCATGTTGGTTTCAAAGCCAATTTCACTTAGTTTTTTGAGAAAGTAAAAAAATGTAGCACATCCACACGTTTTTCCTGAATTTTGCTCACTTTAAAAGTATTTTATTGGGTAGAAAAACGCACCAAACCACCTTTAGAATATGAAATGTAAGCTCAGATTTTAGTCGGAAATTTTACTTGTGTATTGCCGAAATTGATGTAAGCTTTCCCTGTAACCTAGAGCTCTGTCAAATGCCTAACCTGTTAGGGCCTAATTGGTAATTTTGTCAGTTAATCGCATTTGTGTCGCTTAACTGCTCTGAACCCCTTGCAAGACCCTGCCTGATAGCGTAAAGACTGGGTTGGAACCGTCATTTTAGTTAATATTTCTGAGAATATTATGACGAGTGTGAGGCATTGGCTTCTCTCAAATATGGAATTAACATGGGACGCTCGGTAGTTTTTTTTAATAAAATGCCAGCGTCAGTGTTTGCAAAACAGTCCGATGAGCAGTTTTTTGCGTTCCTTTATGTGATATTTTATTTAAAAATATAAATGCCTTCTTATTTGGCATGCAGTTTTTGATCTCTGAGGTATTTGTCAGAAAGTGAAGCAGTCACGCACTAAATTTTCCGTTGACATTCATGTAGAAGTGACTTACACGCAGTCTTCAGGTCAGGAGGATCAGGCGTTTGAACTCCGGCATGTCTGCTCATTATGCTAACTGTCTACCACTGAATATTCATCTCTCTCCTGTAGTCGTTTTGTACTGTTGCAGGGATAAAAGTTAATTGATGTTGGTTGCATAGTCAACTGCACTAAATGAGTTTTTCAGAAACGAGTCAATGCCCAAATACGACGAACATGATGCAACTAAACAGAATATTTGGTTTCCTGCAATCCAGTATATGCTATTAACCACCTGTCAGCAGATATTGAATATTAAGCAGTTATTCATCTGGAACTGATGAATATCAGCTCAAATATTCGTACACCAAATTTTGGTCTACGCCTGCAGACATTAGTTTAACGTGATATACAGCACCGTAACAAAAAGATCGGGAGGAAATCAAAAGGTGAAAATTCCAAAAAATGGACTATCCAATATAAGGCACACTTTTTAGCCGAACTTCTCGTACTTCGGCCATTCCGCGGCAGAATATAGGCGAAATATGCATCAAGCTTATAGATAGTGCCTGTGCAATTAGTATGGTATCCTGCAGCCCAGAATGTACTTGCTGCTATTGTTTTTACCATATCTTTGCCTAAAATGTGGAAAATTATAAATATGCCGATATTTTTCGAACTCAACCAAGTTGTCGAATTGTGTCGTAAGTGATGCATCGACCTGAAATTAGATAAATAAAGTTACGTTATAACTTAAACTTACAAACGCGAAGGCTAATTATTTCGAGGACAATGTTGTGTGACCTTATTTCTCCACTGAGGTATTTAAGATATTTTAATAGTAGTTACAAGTATGTCCACATATTTGACGAGTTATAGGCAATTCAGATTATACATAAAACACTGCTTAGTCTTGATATAATAAACATTTAACACATAGCATGTGCGCGAAAAGAATTGTCACGATTATTCAACATAAACTGTAAATTGCAACTACGTTTTTTACTTCCAGGACACCAAAACCATCTTATCCAAGCAAACATATGTGATGACCTTAACAGGAATGCATAAACCAACATCCATGCTGTTAGTTTGGTACCGCCGTACATTAAAATATACTACCAGGTGCCTATCCCGCTGTCGGTGGTGGACTTAGGTTAAACTATTCATACATAGGATTTAGGTCTGCATCAATAGAACATTAATATTAACTAATCTACTCCAAGTTGGCAGTTAGTTTCTAAGGAAATTTAGAAGCAACGACAGCATTGTGGATCGTAAGAGTCCTCTGTATTTCAGCAACGAAATGTAGATACCTCCTAATTTCAGGACGTACATTTGGCCTCAGACTTCGGGAGCGAAAACGATTTTACGTCAGCGTCGCAGGCAGGAACAGGAAAGCGCCTCGGTCATGCACACTTACATACCAGGCAGTTTAGAAGAATTCGAACCGATGCAACAAGTTCGTTCTTACATTCCCGAGGTGAAGAATGGCTGCAGTGCTGCGGTCAAAATGTTAATTTATAGGCCTACGTTCTCAAAGACCGATTCCACTTTTTGCAGATTAAACAACCTCAGTTATAAGAGTATGCCAAATTTTCCGCTGATTTTGTTCCGATGCGGTTTCGTGGCTTAGGCGGTCTAAGCGTTGGCTATGCTTAAGCCTTCCCATTTCTGCCACTGGTTAGAATCCCACCGAGACGCAGAGATTTTCCCAGCTATGTCAAAATGAAGATCAAAGGCCCCTTCAAGTAGGCCCGTGACTTTGTCAACTAGAAAGCCATTTTCATCCCCTGACTTTTAAACGGACTGAACGTAAAAAAAAATATTTAAGTTGAAGAGTTGTATTATGATTAACAAAGCTTGTGAATCGAATTAAATAAGCAATAAGTAAGGCTACGGCGAGGTTTAATCCTGTGGCTTGATTTGATTGATGCAATGTAGTTTACATCCTAAAACAAATTTATTAGATTTGATTATGATGATTTAACGTATAGCACGTGTTTCATCCTTCCTTACTATTTTAATTAAATGGTTGGCTCAGCACCAGGGTCGTCTTTATACGCCAACTTCAATCACCTAACGTATCAGTCCACATGTACTTGCATATGCAATGCCATGTTTGCGACCATATTATTATCTAAATCCAGCAGGTGACTTAGTCGGCTTGCTATCTACACTGTTTGGGCTGATTGGAACTCCTTAGGTTCTACTCTAGTGAACATGTATTACCAAACAACATGCAGTTCCTTCCGCAGTCCTTCGGTTATTTTTGCGTGCTTCTTTCCCTCTTAATCCAGCAAGGGACTTCGTCGCAGGGACAGTGTAGACGCCAACTTCACTTACACCCCGCACTGATTATTACGCCTGCTTCGAGACTTTATCACTCTCCCTTCTTATTATTAGTCCACCAAAAAGCTAAGTAAGGTATATTAAATGAAAATATTTTAGTAAGCTAACCATACGTTATCAGTCAAGTAGAGCCGCAGGACCAAATCTCGTCTAAGCATCGAACGAAGTAGAGCAGAAAAAATACAGGCCAGTTTTAAAGACTATCCACATATACTACCAATCAAACACTGTTAGGTCCATACGATCTCCAAATGTTCGCCGCGTGATATGACATAGAAACCATTTTCGACCGTCCGATCTACAACAAGTGACACAGCCAATCAGTTAATGAACCGTAGCGTCTTATAAATATGGACAAGAGCATTTAGTTACATATATTCTGAGCATGCAGGAGGAGACGGGCCTATCACTGTTTCGTTCATTGGCCTGGCTGGTTCTAAGTGTAATAACGACTTGACACAAAAAGAGTGACTAAAATTTGCTTGGGAAACCCGTGGGATATAAACCAAACCGGACATTTTAATTCAAGCTGATATAGGCAGAGGTGTTAATGCAAGACACCCCGACTGCTGCGTAGCACAGAACGAAATTAAAATAGCCTTCCATACATGGTGCACTTTTTCATTTTAGCTTATATTCCAAACTTCGCCAAGCACCTCCCTATACTAGGCGTTATCAGAAAAAAGCACCTAATACTCAAGGTTCAAAGGGCGCGCTCCATCTGATCAGAATTAAATATAATAAAATCACTTGTTAAAGTTTCACCTATACAGCTCAGTTGGCGTGGCGTTTAAGAAAGCTTGACATGGTAGGCGTTTAGTTAATTACGAGTTATCAAACCTTCACGTACATTTCGTCATTTTGCTCTCCATTTACAAGATCTACTTTTCGCTGCAATATGACTTTAAGATATATTTCGGTGCTGGAGGATAAGATCCGCAAAACGTGGACGAGTGATTTTTTTAAATGGTCAACATGATAACTACCGCATTGCAGTATACGTGGACATTGGCAATTTTCTACGAGAAATCTCTGTCAATCAATGCGGTAATTTTGTCTTGTTGAATTCTAAAGGAGATTTGCTTTGCAACCAACGGCTACCTCACTCTGTTAACATCATCAATAATGAAATGTGGTTTTTTATTTAAATTACCAGCAGAGTTCCGAAGGAGTGCACCAACTTAGAAATTAATTACTCTAATTTTTAGAGAAAGCATTGATTGTACACGGTATAATCGTATTTCCGTATGCCACAGTTAAAGATTAATTGCCATAATCGGACGTTAAGACAAAAACATTGAAATGCAACCTGGCTATACTAATAGCTGAGACAAATATGCTTAACATTTAGCCAAAATACATATGTATAACATCGGCCATAAAACAAGCCTTTTTTCATTGACCATCGATGACTCTTTCATTTTTTTACACGTTGTTGTGAATAATCTAATTTCTTCTCACTTACATTTGCATATTATTCTGGAATGATAAATTAATTTTAAGTGCGGCGTGTAAAAATAACCCAGTTGATTTACAAATTCAGAAACATCCAGTGAAAAAATACTATGGTTTTCATTGGTCGAATGTGGTCTCCGAATTATATTTAAGAAGCCATTTCCAAAGTCCTGAATTGAATTAGTCAAGCTTCGCCTAAAATGAACTTTGTATTTTACACTGTCACCTTATATGCCATTATTGGTTTCGCCTGTCAGCGTAAGTTAGCTAAATTGTGCCATTGTTCTTAGGGCCTAATTGCCTTTGAATCCTTTTTAAAAGCGCTTAGCGATAAAATTATAAATAACATACATAGGTCACGAGTCAGTTTTGGCAAAACAGTTTACCTTGAGAATATGCGCATTTATGATTTTAATAAACGCACTTTAGTCATGACGATTAAGTAGTCGTTCGTACAGCGACTTTGAAATTAAAATAGAGTGCATAAATTGGCAGAACTTGCAGGTTCAAAGCGACTTCAAAACAAAGGTCATATTCGATTGCAACTAGAAATATTAACCTGTTAAAGGAAAATATATGCTAGAAGTTGTTCATTAAACCGGCATCTGTTTAAATAATTGAAGCAGCCCAACAACCGCATGCAGTTTCCGAAATAGAGAACAATGTGACGGCAAAAGAGAAAATGCAATTGCTATTTCAATGGGAACCAAAACGTCTTGCAATGTTCTCGTCCGGCCAAAATGACTACGAATTGCAACTTCAACATGCGACAATCGCCACAGTAAATGGATGCAGTTTATCACAAACATCGGCAGGTTATAAAAAGCATGTAGGATGTCAGGCACGATTTGCACACATAAAAATGACTGTCATATTACGGGTAAGTTGAAGTTTAATTTAAAATATCTCAGTAGCCTGTTAACATTGCTATGCGCGTTTTGTCAATATACATTTGCTAAGCCGAAGCTTCAGGAGGAAAATTAGCAAAAAAACGTTCATTTCTAAACTTTTCTTCCGACCGATCCAGTTTTATGGGAGGGGGACGTAATGATTGAAAAAATAGGCAAAAGTTCATATTAAAAAACACAGGCTTGGCAGAAGGGAGGGCGGAAGGGCGTAAAAAGTTGCATGTGGTTAGTCAACCGTTGACTCCCATAGGCGCAAAGCCTAAGCGAGGTTATTCTGAACGCAAAAGATCGTTTTTCACAACCTGATGGTGGCTGCTTCTGCTGTTGCTAACAGGCGCTAGCCCAGTAGCGTAGGGTAGCTCGAGGGAACCTCGCAAATCACACGAAATGCCCTAACGGGGTCTACACGATGTCTCGAATCCATTGCATGAGCAGGGGTAGTACTGTCTTTTCTACTAATTTCGCTTTTTGCCAGCCATGCGGGGAGGTGGCGTCGTACTACATATGTATTAAAACCTCATCTCCACTATAAAAACCTTACGTTCTCTATTTTTCATGTTTTCTGTTTTAAGCCAGTGAAAATGCTAACGTACTTATCGAGCACTTTAAAGTCATGTTAAACTTGCGCATAAAGGCAGATTAATAAAGTAGCACACTTTTCTTTTTCGGACCCACTGTGCTTCAAAGCGGTATTATTTCAATTTTGAACTGTCCTATACCTCTTACATAAGAGCATATATCCCAATATTTTGTTTTAGGTCATGTCCTCATTCGAGATAATTCAAACAATATACCGCTTTATCAATTTGAAAGACGCAGATGTGCATATTGGAGCTGAACTTGGCCGTGACAGCATGAGGGCAACTAAAATTGTCTTTCTGAAGGAAGAAAATGTTACACATTCAATGGAGTCCGCAACCAAATTGATGAAATCGATGTTTTCGGAAAGTGACATGGACCGCAAATTGCAAATCAAAGCGGCTGAAGTGTTCTTGAATGTATATGCGCTACCGTTTCGCGAAACCTGAAAAGATGCCTGTATTTGATCGTTTGGGTCTGGTCTGAAATTCCATTTGACCAAAAGTCTAAAAATGAGCTTGTACAAGTTTCAAAATTTTATATTTATTGGGAAAGTCTTGTTTTATTGAAATCTTTTGTCTTATATATTTTCTGTCTTCGATGTTCATGCAGACCTCACAATTTAAATATCTGCACAACAGAAAACTGTCCAATACGCAATTAAATTATTTTCAAAACAGAACCATTTGCCACACTCCAGAACAGACAAGGCTTAACAATACATACTTTTTTGATTGTTTGCATACGGACTGACGTAACTGCGAGTAATTTAACTTACTTATCTCATATTATCCTCAATAAGATTTAAGGAACCACCTTTCCTGTAGTCAAATCCACGAAGTTTGTTCAAGAACGCCATATTGTCTGATTAATCAAGTTGTATAAATTCATGTAATTTTGGTGATATCTAAAGCAATAAATCGGCAAATGCGCAATCGTCAATTCGAAAAACTGTAGTGATTTGATAGAAAGCAGAAAAAGGGAAAACTGCACGATTAATTGGACGGCTGTGTGTGGCCATCAACTAAATTAAAAAGGGTTGATAGAGCTTTATGAAAAATCAATTAGAATAACCAAACGCCCCATAATTTCAAGCAAGATGAAGAGGAGAAAGACTTAAATATATGCTTTGCGGCTTATTCACCTCCCAAATATTGGCGTTTTGTTGTGAATACTCGCCTTAAGTTTTGCAACGCTACTTAATGAATCTTTTTACAACGAAAACACATTTCGGCATTTCAGCTGAAATTTCATGATTCGGCCCACCTACGGTATATAACATTGTCAAAACACGTGGCCTTACGGCTGAAACACGCATATTTTGACAGATGAAGCACACGGATCTTTAAATACTGACCTTGATTATAACCTTGATAATAAAGCAAAAGGTTTGTTTATCTGAAATTGCTGGATTCAAAACATTGTGCTTTAGATCCGCCACTGCAATATGCAATTAATGGAGTCATAAAGTTATGAAAAATATGGACTTTTACAAGTATTTCGGTTAAATATGCGCGGCGAAATTTAAACCACACTTGTATACGCTTTATTGCACGTTAACAGTCAATACGATGGTGATAATTGAACAGACGTAAACGTTGCTTACCATATTCGAGCGTGCTTATAAGATTCGACACAAATGGATATTGCGGAACTCCAGTTTCAATGCATATAAATGTTAGGAATCGTCCGTCTTCGTAAAAAATTAAATATAAACAGTATCTGTAATTTGGGGCATTCATCAATAATCAGTTGAGATTATTAATTTCTAGCCTCGTTCGCTCATAATTAGCATGCCCATGTAAACTGCAAATGGTTGACAAACTTCTAACTGGACACATAATCTTTAATGTGCTGTAAATATCAAAAGTGCCATACCATGTTTCATGCCCTCGGTTTATCGTTACCGCTATAAACACCATGAGTAACAATCAAAAACACCAGTCTAGGACAGGTCAATTGGGAATTTCGTGCCCGGTAAGCAGTACGAGTGACCTGTCTTCTGCAGCGAAGTCAAATAACAAAGGCAAAGCGTCCGCGTGTGATCAACATCAGCAAAAGCATGCGTGACTATGCTGCAATGTATGATCAATTTTGGTTAATCATCGCACAGACAGGCTGACGAATCGTACGTTTCTGCAAATATGTGCGCGTCAGCATCTACGACAACTGTGTTGTGTGCGTGCATGAGCATCTGAGCATAGGCCGTGACATTTTATCCATATTTTCGTAACCCTCGTTAGATGTGTGCAGCCAGTGGGACGGTGGTCCGCCAAACCTGCGTAAATGATGCTTCCCATATTCGGACTTCCTTACCTTCGCAGATGCGAATGAATATTTCGAAAATCAACTTTCAATGCGTTGAGTTCTATGCATCGTACGTTGTCGTGAGGAAATAAATCGATGACGATTTCTCAAATTTGGGGATGCTATTCATAATTTGTTGTTATTTTCAATGTCTGTCCACATTTCTCAGTCCTTAGCATGCTGATTTGCATTGAGGGTTATAGCTTATCTTAAAACTGCACGAAAAACATTGGTAGTCAGGGAGTGCCGGTGATGACGCACGACAGTCTACACTCTCGGTAGCTACAGTCACCAACATCAGTCTAGGAGAGGTCGGCTGGGGTATATTTGTCTCGTAATAAATGTCTGCTGTAAGATAACAATCTCTGTCGCAATAATTTTACCCCATTCAATAATAACATATAAAATGTTTAAGACGTAAAATCGTTTTTGATTGAGGAATAAACGAGAGTGCAAACGACTAGTTGGCAACAAATGCGGCCATACATCATGATTTCTTTGCGTAAAGACGAAAAAAGACTCTTCGTACACCAGAACCGCAGTTTTATTTACACGATGCCTACCTAGTTTGAAGTTCCTAATTGTGCCGTTGGCGGTATATGGAATATGTACTTAATTAATGTAACGAAGGTACTGGGTGTTATTTGATACATTTCCAATGATAAACATGACTTTAAGAGCACATATCGAACTGGGCGGAAAGCGCCGCCATTTACTTGAGCACAACTTGTCCATCACATGCTTTGGATGTCTCTCTCGTTGCCCTGAAAACTCCTGCCGTCACAGAAAAACGTCTTTTTTATTTCTTATATTATTAGGCTTTCCTGAAACGCCTCGGAACATGATGATAGGTTTCATGACTGGTACGCTGAAAGTAAGTAGAGAATTTAAACGAAAAGTTCTTACAATACATCAGACAAACGGAACCTGAACAAACGGGTGACATTTTTATTTTCTGACTCTCATCTCCATGTTTGACGACACCAGTCAAGTATCAAGTCGGTACTGATTTTCCATCCACAAACTAACATAGTTAATCAGGTACTCTATGCAGATATCTAAGAAATGACAGGACAATTAATACTGGAGTATAGAGTAAAATTTTTAATATTCGACATTACATGTTTCTTCCTCTCTACCAAATGCATCCCAATCGTCCTACGCCCCGAGGTGGTCTTAACGTATGCACTATAAGGAAATGCGGTAAAACAAAGAGCATCTAGAATGGAAATCCTAATGTAGATAATATCGGTTTTGCTTCAATTATATCCAAAGAAAAATGATTTATGAGAAATTTACTTTTAGACCTAGGGTAAAAAATTCATTGATAGGCAGAATTTCTGACGGACCCTATTACCACCGGATTTTTAAACAATTGGCACATCTTTTAAATAGGTAAAAGGCGGCTGTCATTCATGCTACTTATTGGGTAAATGTTTTTAAAACCAAAATAAATTCATCTACGGTAGGAAATACGTTCGTATGAGCTACATTATCTGCAGTTCTCTTAATGGGAGTGCCGCTGCGTTTGAACCCCTACTCACGCTTGCTGCGGCATTTTGGCCCAAGCCCACTATGAAGGAAAACAACACATCTTCAGAAGACATAAGTGTTGTCCGCAACCAAACAGGGCTCTACTCGCTGTCAGACACACCCACAGAACCACACATTGTTTCGTTAGAATGCTGATTGAAGACTCATCCTCAAATCCTGGAAACCTCAGAAAGAAGGAGAAGATACTACCAATTAAACAAGGAATTGTTTGGTATGACGTGTCGGGTTCCTACTTGAACTCATTATCAGAGACAGTCGCAGATAAGGAGTAATGATGGCAGAAGCAGTGCAGTATGTATAGCACGTAACTGCCCTAGGACTGTATGCCTACTCTAATTAACAGCTTTTGCAATCACAGCTGGAGTCAGACGAACGGGGCCTGAACAAAAAGGTGAAATGTTTATTTTCTGACTCCCATGTCCATGTTTGACAAGAACAGTCACACATCAAGTCGGTGCTGATTGTCTATCCGCAAACTAACATATTTAATCTGGTATTCTAGGCAAATATCTAAGAAATGACAGGACAATTAATACTGGAGTGTAGAGTAGATTTTTTAATTTTCAACGTTCCATCTTTCTTTCTCTCTACCAAGTGCATCCCAATCGTCCTACGCCCCGAGGTGGTCTTAACGTATGCACTATAAGGAAATGCGGTAAAACAAAGAGCATCTAGAATGGAAATCCTAATGTAGATAATATCGGTTTTGCTTCATTTATATCCAAAGAAAAATGATTTAGGAGAAATTTACTTTTAGACCTAGGATAAAACATTCATTTAAAGGCAGTATTTCTGATGGACCCTATTACCACCGGATTTTTAAACAATTTGCACATCTTTTAAATAGGTAAAAGGCGGCTTTTATTCAGGCTTCTTATTGGGTTAATGTTTATAAAAGCAAAATAAGATCATCTACGGGGGGGACATATAAAAACATGGCTTGCGGCGCTTTACTCGTTGTCGGAAATACGTTCGTCGGAGTTATTTTATCTACAGTTCTCTTAATGGGAGTGACGCTGCGTTTGATTCCCTTCTCACTCGTGTTGCGGCCTTTTTGCCCAAGCCAAATATGAAGGAAAACAACACTTGTTCAGAAGGGTCGTACTTGATGCGATGATGGTTTGTCAGTCCGCGACGAGTAGTTAATTAGCGCGATTTGGTCATCAGTCTTGTATGCCTCCCTCTTACTTTTACTATTGTTCGTTCGTGTCCTCCCCACGTGACTGAGTACACTGTTTAGTGAATGTCTCAGCCCATAGTATGGTATCGCGAGGTCATTGCCCTTTTTGATGTACTGTGGCCCTGACAACCATCATTCGAGCAGCTCGCGGATCAAGCGGTTGTCAGCTGCCTGCGAGGGTCTCGGCCTCCTGAGACTCGAAAATATGGCCGAGTTCCGTGGAATGAACCACCATTTGAGAGCTAGCGTCTCCCCTTCTCACCGCTACTGCGTACTCGGTAATTTGGTTCTAAGGTACTCTCCCAGTTAGTCCGTCCGCAACTGCACCAGATCAGGTTAACGACTTCTGACGTTTCCTGCAGTGGTAACGGGTCTTTCAGCTTCCTGATTTGGTGAGAAGGCAGCTGA